CGAAAGTCTCAGAAATACAGATTTTGGTCTGTTTTTCATTCTCAATTCTCAAAAAATGAGAATAAAATTAAAAACTTTGACTGAATATCCACACATGACGCACCATCACGTGCACCACTGAGCGTACCTAGCCCAGAGCTTTTAAGGACCCCCGGACGTGACCCTTTTACCCGCAACACCGGAGAGGACAACTGCAGTGTCAATTCAACAGCAGCACGAAATAGCCCCATTAAATCCCAGAATAAAAAAAAAAATTTCCATTGATGCAAGAACCCCAGCAACCCACTTGTAACAATTTTCTCCCCCGCGTGCGTCACAGCTGATAGCAACACTTTGTCGAGTAGTTGCACCTGGAAATCCTGAGCAACCGGAGTTTTAATCTATGCGAAACTCTTTTTTTCTCCCTCGAGGGGAACAAAAGGAGTGGATGCTTCAAAATGGAGAAGTCTTTTGTGCAAAGTTTTCCAACATGATACGACTCTGCGAGAGGAGACAGTGGAGTAAGTTAACTGGCTGGAGGAAAGTCTTCTAGTGGAGTCTGACGATGATCAGTGCCGCGAGACAGAGTAACAGACAGACAAGTCTCCTCCGATGTTCTTCTGATAAGTTTCATGACAGATTTCGATGCAACGAAGGTTGCGGGAACTCAACGATTGATGGAGTAGGTCAGAACTACCCTGCCGTCTCGAGTAGACGGTAATTGAGGGGCTTGGAGATGAGAAAAATGAAAGACGGATAAATCCGACAGTTTAATATTGTGAGAATACATTTTTTTCACTTTTCTCCGGGGCAACATTACCTGCGCGGCTATCCTCCACGCAATATCCGATGTCTGTTTTCCTTTATCTCGTTCAATGCCGTTTGAACTCAAATAAGGAAAAATATGGGTTGTTTGGGGTGAGCGAAGCGGATGCATTCCGCGTGGTCGAGTATTTATTTCGCCTCGAAGATGGTTGTTTCAGGGATGTGTTTTTAACCCGGAAAAATCAATTTTAGAAAGTAATTTTCAGCGATAGTAGAAAAAAATTGAAAACAAGAGAGATTTACAAAATATGAACAACATGTTAGTAGTAAATTTACAGTTTCAGATCAACAAGTTTTAAATACATCATTATTCGTAAAAAATCAGATTATTAATATTATATTATTTGAAAAATTGAATCAACATATTTTAAACCTTCGTTAATGTACGGGTCAAATTCATGTAATATTACAGAAATTTAATATTGATGGGGATCCCTGGCTACCATGAGTCAAAATTTCAGACTTTCATCGACAAATTTCTCCGTATTTGTTGAATTTTGTAAAAATTGATCACCAAAAACCCAAGTTGCCACACATATATACAGACATGACCCTGAAAACATCATTTTTTCACGTTTCATAACATTCTCGACCATTTGTCATCAAAATTAGAAAATCGAAAAATTGCTCAAATACAAGGCTTCCACTCGGAACCAAAAACGTTAAAAAATGGAAAATTTTTGAATGAATGAATGAATCTTTGCTGGCATAAATCAGCCATTAGAATTTCACAACCTTTCAAGGGGCATAGCGGGTTCAAATATCATGGCATTCGTGGAAATCGTCAGCTGTATGTGCAATTGTGAAACCTGTTTCACAATTGCTGATGCCTCAGCTTTCAAATTAATTGAATCCCCTGGTACATGGGTGAGGGGGCGGAGCTGTTGGAATAACGAGACAGATAGTTATATATACTCAACATAAGAGACCGGGTAAAGACGATCAGAGACAGGGTATACGCTAGTGAATGGTTCAACAGGGTAAACGCTAATGGAGCACCAGAAGCCACCCACTCTCGGAGGCAAATCAGATTATGCTTCCAAGTGTCTGGAGATACGAATGCTTGTTTTATTTCCTTTGAGCGAGTTTTTGATGTCATAAAGTGTCTCTCAGAATTTTCAAGACAGTTTTAGCCTCAGGTGAAAACGATTTTCCGCGTAAATCGGATCAAGACATATTTTCGTCTGTTATTGAAACGAAAATAATTTATATGATGCTTTCTCATGAAGAATTCAATACTTCTAGAATTAATTGGAAGGGTGAATATCATTCTGTGAAACTTTCTGCTTCATAAAAATTTCAGATCAATTTATGTTAATTAATGAAATTTGTTTGATTTCAACAAAGTTCATTTAATTCAAATAAACAATTTTTCTGGGCGCACGCTTTCATTCCGATAAACAAATTTAAAAAAATGATTAATAATAATAATAATTGATCAAAAATGATGCATTTGAGATAAACTGCCGTTTTATTGATGAAAAAGTAATTCATCCGTTGGAATTCCTCGCGAAAATTCAACTCATAATCACTATAAAATGATAAATATCACTTTGCCAAACTTCTTAATCCATTAAAATCAAAGTTATCGTTCGTATTCATCCTCTCGCAACATGAAATTCAATATCTTATTGAATTACAACTTCAGAACGAATGATTGTAGATACTCGCTGAGTGATACAACTTGCAAGTACACGTTTGAATTCAACTCATGGATAATTCCCGAGGAGTGAATCTGTGAGGACAAAGTTATCTCAGTTGTATGAAACGCCTCAATAACAGATAAACTTCTGGAGTTACTGTGACTGCACGGGAGTTAATGCCAGTTGACGACCAATGGGAACTTGTTAAACTCCACCAATTGACCTAAAAAATTTTACGCGAGTGATTTTCTACGCGGAGAGCAAAGTTGGATAAAAATTAACTAGAAAGTCGTGGCAAATTTTACTGTATGAAAGGTAATCGTGCAGCAAAATGTTATTGAATGAAAAATTATCTGTTTGTGGAGGATATTTTACGATTCTGGAAACAAAAATTGTCCTGTAGAGCAAAATTTCCCACACCTGTCGGGGATTTTTGCTTTCGAATAGAAGCTCTTTAATCGTTTGTATTTAAGTTTTTGATTTTTTGTGTTACATCGACCCAGTATGATTCAAACAAGTGGCCCATTGCGGAGGTCTAAATTAAGAATAGCTTTTTTGCTAAAAATTAGCAATTTGCTTCCGAATGGATTAATCGAATTAAAATAAAAAAGCGCACATTAGGTTTTTTGTCATTAATTTCAGAATTATAGGAATCCTTCCTGCAGTCTAACCTCAGGAAAATTGAATTTTTTTTCAAAGACAATTTGAGATTTGACAAAAAAAAATTCAATTCCAACTTATTTACGAGTATCCACAATGATTTAATATCGCGATTTAACGCGAAATGTGAAGTTCGCGATTTCCCGCGAAGTCCTTATTGACTTACCACTTCGCTACTGAATTAAAAAATAAAATTTTTGATTCATCAAATTTCGGACGCGGATAAACTCTACATCTCTATTAATCCACTTTTCATTCATACATTCATTCACTAAAATGTTCATAATTAAAGGACGGTAAATTCGTCAGTAAACGAAGGATAATGTAAACACCCCGACAATGGAATTTTCATGAATTTGATTAAATTCCAGTGCATTCACCGAATGCGCCACCTCCACCCACCGAAAATTCTCGTGTTAATTTCCATTTTTTTCCAAAAATTCTTACCATCAATCAGTGGAAAAAGGGAGTAATTACTTTTCTCATTAAAACTCTGCATTTTCATTACATAAATTTGTGAAACTGTTCAGTGAAATAATAGGCATTACCCCCGTCTACCGAGGGCCACTTATTATTTCCATTATGTATTTCGTTTAATTATATTTGAACTTTGCCAACACCTGAGGCAGGGTATCAGCGACATTAACGGGAAATAATGACTTTCAGTTTGAATTCCAAAGTTTTGTTATTTACACATGTGTTTCGGTATTCACAATATTTTAATAATTGGGATAATATTGAAAAATGTTAAACAAAATCGTGAATATTCAGCGTCATTAAAATTACATTTTGCATAGAATTATTATTTTTGAGTTCGAAGATGTGAAGAATTGAATCTTTTTTTCAAATATAGGTATTGTTGAGTCCTATTAATCGTCATTAATTAACATTTAATTCATCGACTAGTTTTTTAAATTTTCGAATTTTTTCGAAAATCGATTGCCCCAAAATAACTAAAAAAAATGTTTGAATCTGAATTGATTGAATGATGGCTTAAAAAATTTGTTTGGATATCCCTTTAACCGAGTGCGAAGTTGAAGGCGATAGCAGTAATCGTTATTTTCATTTATTCGCGAATTTTCAAAAATTTTGTATTTTTTGAAAATCAGAATTCCGGGGATATCTTTGAATCAATTTAATAAAATGAAATAAACAATGGATAATACATGATAGAAGGAAATGATGTGCAAAATAAGCATTCAGAAGCATATTGTTAATTTATTAGCCAAAATAACTACACTATATGCAATATAAGAGCAATTTCCCACTTCTTTCAAACATTCGTTGTTTATAAATTATTATAGAACATGCTCGTAATTCTCAAAAATTACAATTTTTAAATTATTTCATCAATTTTCCTCCATAAGTAAACTTCCCATTTTCTTCAGATGTTCAAAATGTTTTCTGATAGTGCAATATCGAGATTCAAATTCAGACCCGCAAAGTTTGAGTAATAAAATCATTGTAAAATGTCCAGAAACTTAGGGTCAAATGGGGTTCAAATGAAAGCTCTGATGTTCGATTACAGAACTAGAAAATTATTTCACTGGTGAAAAAATAGCCAAAGTACTTGGATATCTTTAAAGCTTGCAAAGATACCTTGAAAAGAAAAACAAAATGCGAAAATGTCACCCTGTCGTTCCCGAGTTATCGAAGATTGAAGACGAACTCTAAAATCAAATAATCTTTAATCACAAAAAATTCACATTAAGAAGCGATCTTAGTAAACGACTCCGCGTATTATCATCAATCAATTAACATGGACTCATCACAGCCTGTGCGAGACACCCCCGACTGTCCCATGAAATACACCGAGTGCATCCCCTCGAAAATTCAATTTCAAATACGTCAAGTCGATGAAGTGCGGAGTATAATAAAAGACACTTGACTTACATAGAATGTCTGATCGTTAGCTGACCCTCTCTACTGGGTCGCGTAGTCACTCCGCCTGGATTGTCTCGCGTGGTAACGTGAGTCCTCAAACAATTTCCCTAATTCTTTCCAGCGATGGCAAACGATGTCCGTACTTTCATGCATTTACCGATGTGCAACTAGACACGAGAAAATATGCAGCACAACTGCAATGAAAGTCACAAGAGTGAATAATTTTACTCGAATATTTTGTATGTACAGGGAAACTGTGACAAATTTATTCCACCCTCTCTCGCCGCACGGGAAAGGCTGACTGAGCTGTGCCTGAGCATTGCAACGGGTCAGCTACCACCACTGCCTACTACTGTTGGACAAGTGGCGCCAACTGCTGCTGAACCAACGTAGGTCTCTCAATGTGTTCGTATTTGGGGGTGGCGAACGGGGGAGAGTCAATGAAATGGTTTCAATCGTTAAACTTTTTCGATTCGATAGAAAATGTTTCTATCGATTTATAGATTGATTCTTGAAACATTGGAATAATTGACGATATGACATTGATTTTGGGTCAAACATCGATTGAACAAACGACGCGGGTGTTGATTTTAATTCTCAATAATGTCCCGACCAATTGCCGAAAAAACCCGAATTTTAACAGTTTTATCCGGATAAATTAATAACTGTTGAGACAATTTTCATTTGAATTCAGTCAGCTTTCACTTATATCACAATCCAGTTTCCGCACAAATACAACACATTTTAAAATGTAAAAATCAGAGTTGAGAGTACAGTAGATTATATTTTTTCCTGTCAACAGTTGGGATTCTTCAGGGATATTGCTGATGATCACGACAAAAATTCAATTTTTGTGAAAGATATTAAATTTCCTTCTATCAAGTTGGTTAATTTCCCTCAAATACTCCATCAAATATTCTTCCGTGGTACATATTGTTTTTCGTCAGAGTTAATTCTTCCTCTCCGTGCGGTGTTTTCAGTCGTTCCCTAATAATCCTAAAATCCACCTCTCATCCTTCTTTTCCATGGAACACCCGAATAGTACCACAAAACCACCTGTGGCCATCAACTATTATGTTCCCTGGGAGATTTAAACTCAAATGTGGGCAGCACTATCTTGTTGACCTCATCCATTGTTTTCATTCTCCCACATTGTTCATCGATGAATTTTCTCAGGTTCATCCACGCCCACGTGCTTCCACGAATCGTTATTTCATGGGATTCTCATCATATACCGTATCAATACTCATCAATCTAATGGATTTATTTCATTTCGTTATTGAACTCGCTGATGATTCAATTTGATAATTCCTAAAGCCAACGATCAAACGGTCGTTTCATGATGAAAATTATTCTCTTGATGACAAAATTCTGCAAATTATTGCCTGCAGAATATCATGGAATGAATGCAGAGCGGAATTAGCCAGTAGTTCCTCTCATTTCGACATACGTGTGGGCGTCAAAAGCAACTGATCGATTCTCGTGGCTTCGGTAATGGATCCTTCAAAAATTCATAATGGAGGATTTATGGATATCCAACTACTTTGGTAATTTTTTTCTCCAGTGAAATGCTTTTCTACTTTTATAGTCGAACATCTGAGCTTCCATTTGGGCCACATTTGACCCTAAAATTCCCATTTTACAATGAACATTTTACAATGATTTTATCATTCAAACTTTGCAGGCCTGAATTTGAATCTCAATGTTCAACCGTTTTGAAAAACTTTTTCAAAATTGCAATTTTTGAAAATTACGAGCATTTCTATAAATGATTTGTAAGTAATCAATTTTCCACCATAACAATCATTTTTTCAGAATAGTAACAAATTTCTTCATATTCAAAATTTTACCGGAAATCGATTTTATGCGTAAAAAGAAGGTTTCCGAAAGTTGAAACAATTTCAATTATTTATTTATAAACATCGAATGTTTGAAAAAATAATAATTCTGTGCAAAATTCTGTTTTGATGACGCTGAATATTCGTGATTTTTCTCCAATTTTCCTCACGCAATTTAATTGACAAATTTGAAGATTGAAAAAACTGTCAGATACTTGGATAAACTTAACTGAGATTTCATTAGCATCGAGAATTACTCTTGATGACGAAGGTATGTGTTTCAACATCAATTCGCCTTCTGTTCTATTTTCGATACTCGACGATTTTTTTTATGAATATGTTTACCACAGAGAAAGTTCACTCTTACGTGAAGAAGCTATTCACTTCATTTAAATATTTACTCGTTAATCGATTCGATTGTGCACTGTGGCGTAATTGGATCAGATGAGTGAGCTGGGGTTGACAGCTATTGAGAAGGGGTACCTCTACTTTATCAGCGTTACGTAATGCTCGAAAAATACCGGCTGAGGATGACTGGAGGGTTGAGCTGGGAGATAAATACTTGATAAGACAAATATACTGTTTTATCGGGCTTTATTCGGTGGAGTTGGTTTGAACATTTGAATTTGTGAAAAGTGGGTATTGTTGGTAGAGAGAAGGGGAACAATGATTGTCTTCATGTTTATGCAGTTTACACTGAGAGAAAAACAAACACGTTATCAAACAGGTCTTGTTTGGGCCAACAAAATCGCTAGTTTAAAATTGCCAAAAGAGAATTTGTTTGGTTCGAATTTGAAAGACTCAAACATGAATAATTGTTCTGCTTTCGACAGCAACGAAATATTTGGCTCAAGAGGCGGATAATTCGCACCAGACGGTGCCCTTTCAGGATGAAAATATCTCATATAGGGGAAAATTGATCAATATTTTATCCCTGAGTTACAAGATTGCTATCATATCATTATTATTGTTTCATTTAAGGGTTCATTTCTTGTCTGTGATTATTAGATAGCCGAAACGAAAAACTACTATCCCTTGTTTCGCATAAAACAAAGATTTTTCGGGAGCAAAATACGTATGGGAGTATCGAATAACGAAGGAGTAGTACTAGAAATGACATTTCTTGCGTCTACAGAGAATGCAATTTATTTTTAACTACTAAATGTATTTTTGCAACAAAAATTTTTCATTCCGGCGCACTCTCTGCGTGTTTTGCATAAAAAAATCCTTTCTTGATAATTTTCAAAAGACTATTTTCTTGGCACAAGTAAGACTTGTTTGAGAACTTTGTCGTTTTTCTCTCAGTGTATGGGTGCTGAAGGTCAGATCATTCGTATTGAGGGTTATTCCATTCAAAAACATAATTTCTTGAATGAAAATTTGTAGTGGTAGAAAATTTTTCGTTAAATTGCTGCGTAATATCTAGAAATGATTAACAAACACTAGTTTACTTGAAATTCCAATATCATAAAACTAAATTTCGATCGAAGAAAACTTCACTCAAAAAATTGTCATCAAAATAGAATCAGTCGTGGTTCAATAAATTGATGACTAATTTATTAGCATGAATAACACTCATTCATAGAAAACATGCAATGATCCTCTCGGTTTTTACTTCAAAAGCCCAGGGTTAGGGAGTCTATTATTCTACCTCTGATTATTATCCATCGATGTGGAATTACATTAGTACACAGCCGTAACCCCCAACATTTATATTGCATTTATAAATACACCGAAAATGCGGAGGCGCTTACACTGACCTTTCGTCGATCAGGCACTATTTTTTGCGCCTTATTCGAAATTTTTTTATTCATCAACAATATTTCTGTTGAAAATTAATCAACTCATACAGTTACTTCTATGGAAATGCCGTAATTATATGAACCAAATAATTCATTAATTTCGAATAAATCTTCCTTTAGAAACGAACATAGAATATTGAAATGTCACGAAGAATTATTTCATTTCAATAAATTCTTCTTCAATAATTTTCGTCGTCTAAATAATTATTCTATTCTTGATTAATTGAGTCTTTGATTCAACCAAGAAAATATTTATTTAATATTAATGCTTCATTTAATTTAAATACACCAGTCCTCTAGGTGAATGAACATCGAATATGTCATACTCTGACCCCTAACACCCTTTCGTATCTCAATTATGATCAAAGTCGCGCGATTTAATTGGAAATTTCGATGATAAAAGATCTCCAAATCTATCCGTAAGTTGAAAATAATCGCTTGACTGATTGAGCCCAGAAAATCATCAGGCAATCGATGAATGATTCATTCCGATTGCATTGACTTTTGTCGTCTAAAACGAGAATGGGGGCGAGTGAGACAAACAACCCCCTAACGCCCTAACGCCCCTAACAACCCTCTCACCTCCGTTGTTCAATAAACTTTCAAGAAATTACAATCCAACAGAGCGTGAGTTTTGACGTTTCAATTTTCTTCAATGCGAACGCCGTTTAAACACTCGAGCTGAGTTGAACTGATTTACCTCTGGAATATTTAACTTGCGAGTGACCTTTGATAAAATCAAAGCAAGGAAAAGAAATTGCAACGTTGCATCGGCCATTTCCGCTGTCGCTCGACAAAAGCTCTAACTCTTTCAATCACTCTTTGTTCTAAGAAGCACTCAACGCGATACAAAGTGATGTAAAATCCTCGAGTGATTCACGAAACAGTGAATTTATTCCCGGGAATTCACCGTCTTTCACTCGAGGAAAAACGGTGAAAAAAAAGCAGGGAATCTCCCTGCATTTTGAAAAAGTGGCAGGGAGATTAACCATTTGCTGTAACCATTCCTCACAATTACGTAAAAATTGAGTTTCTAAAACAATTATGTAAAAACTAAGTTTTTAACTAATTGAGTTGAAAACTTAATCTAGTTTTTAAAACTTAATCTTAATTTTTTAATTAGGTTAAAAACTTAGTTTTTACATAATTGTTTTAAAAACTTAATTTTTCAGGTCAATCCGATCAACAATTTACCAGAAAAATTCAAAAAATGTGAATTTTGGCGAAAAGGGTGTAATACATCCTTAATGAAATGACAAAAATATGACGATGCATTATTATGAATTTCTTGAAATTTTCAATAATCCCATTCCCCGACACAGCATCACCTCTCCACCCCGAAAAACGAAATCCTCGTAGACTTGACTTTGTTCTCCCCCTCCAATCAACGCAGCGGATTGAAAAATAATGAAGGGCACATCCTCGTGGGAGTGTTGCTGATCTCCCGTACTCAAAAAAATGTTTATCTCCCCCCGTGAAGTTTCCGTGGTGTGAATTTGCCTTTGCCTCAACCATGCGCGGGTCTTCCCCTGCCCACGCGCTTTCCATCAGCCGTTGGTTGTCGCCAGGTCGAGGAGCTTGGGAATTCAGTAACGAGTGGAATCCAGTGGCATCGCGCCACAAGAACCCCATATCGAACATGTTTCAATGCGAATTAACAACGTGTTAAATCGGCCTCCGTATACCCGTCAAATTAATCACAAACTTTTCAATAATACCGAGTGAATAAAGTTGTATAAACTTTAAGTTGCAGAAACTTTGTTAATTTCATCTCAGCATTTTGAAAGTGGCATGGAGTGAAGCAGACGGTTTCGTAAGTTTTGTGTTAAATATTATCGCCCACTCGTGTTGAATTGGCCGCTGGGGATATTTGTCGGGGGATATTATCTGTGCACACATGACGGATAAAGAAAGTTATTGATATGGGTAGCAGAACTTTCACGATCGATTTCCCTGGATCTCTCTTTTCTGATCCTTTAGAAAAACACATTGTTACGCTATTGAAGTCCAATTTCTTCGGGATAATTGGCTAATCGGTCTTGCACAGAGAGAAATTTTCTCGAAAAATTCTAGTACGAGTACTGGAAAAAATTACAATCCACCGGCTGTGAAAAATTCTAGTGCTATTAAGGTGAAATTTCTTGGTATTTCTGGTAAAATTTCTGGGGATTTCTGTGAAATTTTCACAGAAATACGGGGAAAAATTCACGTTTTCCCCAATAAAGTTTCTAGTGCCGGCACTGGAATTTTTTCCTGGCCCTCACTTTGCACCTCTTTTCCCGTGCCAGCACTAGAATTTTTCTAGAAAATTTCTCTCCTTGTGCAAGCGTGGGGAGAATTCAAATCATCAACAGCTGTTTCTGCATTTCCTTTCAGAAATCGTGAACATTTGTTCGTTTTTCAGTTTTTGTCGGCTTATTCTCTTCTGCTGTAATGGAGTTAATTTCTAATAATTCATTGAATCATCAATATCATTTTGTTTCTTAAATTCATTTCTAGACTAAGGATGTCCAAGTATTTTGACTACTTTTTCACCAGTGCCAGCTTTTATACTTTTGCAGTCGAACATTTCGCATTTTAGTATTTAAACTTTGCACATGTGAATTTGCATCTCGATATTAAACCGTTAGACAGCTTTTTAAAAATCTTAATTGACTGATTCATGCACAATTCATGATAATTCATTAAAATCATCATTATTTTTCATTAAATTCATTTTTTAATTTAATCATATAAAATTCTAAATGCTAATTAATCATAATAACTAACTCAGTCGTGTAAACAACAACAGCATCAACATCATCATCATTTGTCCTTAATTCAATTCACAATCAAGCATTTTAAATTCGATTTTTTTCTAATAATAATAATAATTTATTTCCTTTAGTACATAAATTTCTTTTTCTGTACATAACGTTCACATTTTTTTTCTGAGAAGGCTTGGTGTTGGTGACTGATGATGATATTATTTATTAAAACAAAACCGATTTTTTTCTATTCATAATAATTAACTTCTTCATGTACAGTCCATAATAATTTACTGACTAATCAATATAAACATCGGCATCATCATCGTCATCATTATCATTTTTCTTCCATTTAATTTCGATTCAACCATACAAACCGCTACATATTAATTCATCAAAATAGTTAACCCATTTGTACAGCTCGTAATAATGCATTAAATCATCAACGTCATAATCATGTTCCTCGAATTAATCCTTGTATTCAATCATCAAGTGAATTCTATGAAACACCAACTACCGATTAATTATAGCTCATTAATGAGGTTCGGCCAGTTATTTAACAACCTTTGTCACGACGAGGGTTTCGAATATGTGGGTGGGACAGCAGAAAAAAAGTATGTTTACCCTTTTTATACCCTCGCATCCATCAAATCTTGCATTTCAGTATACCCCAGCTACGGTACAGGAAAATCTCTATTATTGATTTCTGGCTTATCACGGAATTTTTCAGTCTTATGCTATCACCATTCAATCGATAAGGATTAGCGATCGCTTCGGTAGGCTGACGATACCAGCAATCCCCGATTAATAGAACTCGTGATGAGAGCTGGAATTTCGAGAAGAATGGAAATGTGAATGGGAATTCAGTTCACGTGCGAAATATATATTTTTCTTGGTCCTGCTGGGAATGTAATTGAGGGAATTGTAGAGAGGGGTTCAGGAATCCAGTCAATTTGGAGGATTCGGAAGAGGGGTGGCTCGGAAGTGAATGAGGATTAAATTAATTGAAAATTTATTCAAGAGGAGGAGACTCTCTTGGAATTCGACAACTGGCGTAAGATAAAATAAAATAAGGTTCAGGTGTCGCCATATTGTCTGGGTTCCCCCCCTCCCCTTCGTTCCGAGGGGATCACAAAATGGCGGCTAGATGTGTCATGACCTCGTCTTCCCAAACGTCAGAAAATCGTGTTCATCTTCATTAGAAAAATTCAATCTTGTTTTATTTTGTTCTCGCGACGGGAACCATTTGTTTGGTGCCGCCATATTCTTTGGAATTCCCTCGGTTCGGTCCGATGGCATTACAAAATGGCGGCTAGACGTGCCATCACCTCACGTTTTCAAATGTGAAAATATCATCTTCATCTCAATTGATCAAGTTCAATTTCGTTGGACTTTATTCCCTAGATGAGAACTATTTTTTTCACAAAAAAAAATTCAAAAAATCATTCTAAATTGAACATTCTATAATAATTTAAATTATTCTTTTAATAATTTTCAATTATTCTATTAAAAATGATTATATTCAGAATTGTCGACATTTGGAAGTAGAATAAAGCGAGATGGTGTGTCGCCATATTGTTGGCTCTCCCCTCCCCTCAGCAAAATTCCAAAATGGCGGCTACACATGCCATCACCTCACGTTTTTAAACATCGAAAAAATAAAGTTTATCTCAACTAGACCTATTCAGACTCGTTTCATTTTATCCTCGGAACGGGAGCAATTTTGTTACCTTTTTTAAAACTTTCAAATGGATTTATGGAGTACGGTTCACGCACCAGTCTGCTCTTTGCTTTTTTCCTCTTGCCTCTCAACAAGTCACCACTGAGCTCTCATCTCGCGAAAAAACACATCAGCCCATCATCTTCATTCTCCCACGCCAGATCTCCGCCCACATATTCCCTCTTTTCCCCTCTCCAAGTGCCGTATAATAAGAGAAGAGTCCTTATTCTTTCACCAGAACGAAATACACCCAGTCTCTCCCTCTCCCATAATCTGATAGCCTGGAAGACAATATTAATTTTACGCTTATCCCGGCAGATTTACAGCATAACGAATGTGGGGCGTAAATTCCCCAGTGGCATCTTGCTGAAGAGATAAATCATTTCGAGGTGTGTTCCGAGATATATCGGGAATAGCAATAATTAGCATGATGATGTTACTGACTCGAGAGGGGTTCTGGGAAATATCTCTTCGATTCTTTACCGGGCTATTAATTTCTTCTGCGAAGGGAATTAAAAAATTACGGACTAATTCTCTCTTGATGGGAGGAAAATTGAGCTTCAGATAATGGACAATTCCTGGAATATTCGCTGTACTTTTTTTCTGGTATTAGAAAATCTAGGGGAACTCCTGGCGATGTGGAATTGGGGAAGGAAATGGCGGTGAGGGTTAGGGTCGTTTCTCACATTCATAAGGGCCGTAAGGGTTTGACCGACATCAACATCTTACATTCTCGATAATCCTTAAGGGCCAAAAAGCCCTTAAGAGCCATGAGGGTGTTAAGGGTCAAACTTATAAGTCTTGCTCACAAACATCGAACTCATAAGGGCCCGGATTATATAACCATGGTCATGATGAGATGATGTTTGTACCGGCATGTTTTCGACTTCTCAGGACCACATGCAGTCGAAATACGCACGGAGTCAAAAGTCTCTTCCTCCCAATTTTTTTTTTTTTTTTTCAATAATATCAATAGTACCATTTAATATCGACCCTCACACCGAGTGAAGGTGACAAAACAGCCATTAAAACGTGTGGTGAGACGTGGATATAACTGATGGAAGTGAAAAGTTACTCAGGTCGTAAAAAAAAAATATGAAAATTTTATCTTCTTCGCGAAAAAAAAAATTCCTCTTTCATTACTTTCGTTTTACTATCGACCACATGTCCTTCCGGAATTCTCAATGTGAAAAGCCAGACTCATTAGAAGTTTCCAGTCCCTCTCATGTTCACAACACTCATGACAAGGTGGAAAGTTTGTAATTTAATTGGCGGAAATTCTCCTCCCCCCCCCCTTCACCTCATCTGAAAATAATTGGAGTTTTAAAAAGTTGGAATTATTTTCCTCAACCTTTTCTTAGAAACTGAAACTGAAACTTCTTAATCTGCTTTGAAAAATATTTGTTTGAGTGAAGTTTAAAATTAAAAATGCAGTGTTGGGGGAACAGGGGGGGGGGGTTCGAATGTTTTATTTTTCCACATCAGTGAGACAGCAAGGGTTTATCTACTCGTAGTGACAGGCCTCATGGTTATTCAACAATGTTACTCGGGAAATGAGATTTACGGGGGATCTACTGTGACCTTGATGAAATGTCCTCGGTGAATTTCATGTACTCAGGAGGTCTGCGTACTCGAGAGATTAAATGGATTATGCTGAGTAAATAATCGAGAAATCGGTGATTCATTCGTTGTGAAATTAGTTGAACGATAATTTTAGATTTTTTATTGATCGATGATTTTGTTTTACATTGTTTGAATCACAGTTGAAAGTTATTTTAATTTAGGTGAAGTGGCAGTTCCACTGAAAGAATGATTTTATGAAGGAATTCATTAGAAACTGGAAATTTTATTTCATAAAAAGTCATGGAAATCAGGAGAATTTAGTTAAATATATTCTGGAATTTTTAGTATCCGAAAAATTCGCATGCAGCCATTGAAAAATTGAGAATTCCATTGAATTCTCAGTGAAATTTGCAATTTCATGAATTTTTTCCCCTCAAATCGAATTCAATACAGAATTCTATTCGATTGATATGAAGCGTCTATTGAAAATTGCATTAGTTTAATTGCATTGCAATAGATAAATTTCTAGAAACTTTCGCAATTGAGACATTTTCCATCGGAATTCCTTGTTTTTTTCAACACTCTAATCTATTATGAATAAGCATTATCAAATTGAGGCATTATTTATTTCAATTGTGTTTCTCACTCATAAGAATATTAACAGTAATCCCTCCTACGGCTATGGTAATATTTACTATTTAATTCTCTCCGTGCGGGAAACGAGAGCCAATACCCAAATTCAACGTTATTTATGATATATCGAGAGCTTGATTGAATAGCGCAGGAAATTCTCGTCAAAGGGAAAACTCAAAATCACATCCCAAACAGTCCCTGCGAATCACAGCTGTATCGATCCAATCTGTCCAAACTCCGCGGAGGTAGAAAAAAAATTGAAGTAGGAGTTTGGAGAAGTGGAAGAACATGAAAACAAATTTGTAGCCGAGATATATACGGCGACAGCCAAATCGCTCGGGGTAATGAAACTTCAGCGTCGCCAGTAGTCCCTTTAGGCCCTTCATAATTGCCAACGAGATTATCATCCAGGTCAACCTCGCAAATTAATCGTTTTTAGTCACTTGTGAATCTCGAGAAATGCCCGTCACAATTTTGCTCAATTAATGGATAGTTTGTTCGAAAATTACTACAATAATTCAACTCAACCAGATTAAAATTAATTGATTTTCATGATTATGATTAATAATGCTTTCACATGACAGCATTTTGTCACAGAGCAATATTTTATTTTAATTAGATAAACTTAAATTAAATTAAATCAATAGTTTTTTTTTAATCACAAAAAATAATTTTAGTTTGAAACCCTTTATTATTTTATTTTAAGAAAATCATCGTTCATTTCATATAATTAAAATAAATTGCCAACCTGAGTGTATTAATTTCCAAAACGAAAAATATTCCCGAAATTAACAGAAAAATCTCAAATGAAGATTTGCGAAATACAAATTAATTCAATCAACGAGAAAAAAAATCATTTTTTCACAATGAGTGTATCGATAACAGACATTTCCACATCAATTTGAAATATTTTCAACATTTCAAACGACTACTCTTGGTGATTACCTCAATTGCGTCGATACCCCGTGCATCAGTCGGAAAAATAAAATGAAATAACGATTCAGTCCACGATCAACCTACCTTAGCGCAATTGTCAATCAACTGCAGATCATACACTTCTGTTGCGGATAGAGACGTAGTTTTATAGCTGATTCAGACATGTTATCGATCTACCCTCGAGGACAATAAAACAATTCATCCCACGGGCATTATTTCACGGTAAATACGTTTTTACATTCCAGTAGACGATGATCCCTCCGATAATGCCATTTTCACATTCACGCCACATTTGTTTTTTATTGCTTCGGAACTGTCGCCTTTCCCACGATAGAGATCTGTAGTGGCAATTGTTTTATCGCGGGAAATACAGCACCTGTCGGAAGATATCAAACCTTTTATTCTTCATGTTTTAATAATGATAAATTGATAATTCTTTTGTGAAAAAATTGCTGAAATTAATTGTTTGCTCTTCAAGAAGCTCGAAATGTAAGAAATTGCACAATTTCATTGTTTCATTTATGTTATAAAAATTATCATTTTTCTATCATTTTTTTACACTATAATTTTACATAAATAATCGAATAAAAGGGGAAAATATTCATATTACTACCCGCTCCGCTGGCCAACCCCTACATGACCCTCTCAATCTTTATTCTGACCCTCGTGACCCTTGTCACCCTTAATTTCGGTGTCTTAATGTCGAGTATCAAATTTTTATCACCAGAAGTCGATTTACATTTTTATAATACAGAGAGATTATATTTTTTTTCACTTTTTATTGATTATATAGAAACAATTAGGTGAGTTAAATAACAAGACTATTTTATTTCCCATTCACAAATTTCTCCTCAAGTATCTTCATCCCTCGCATCTAAATACAACTGCAAAATCATTATTCATTACTCTCAAAAAATTTTCATCAACTCTAATTCACTAATGATGCAGAGCCAATTGGATCAGTCGAATACGTGAATAACAAGATTATATGATTCGCCATTCACGAATTTCTACTTAAGGATAAAAAATAGACGACGAAGCAGAAGAAGAAGAAGAAGGAGAAGAAGATTCTCCCAATCTATTTGTATTTTCATCCCTCGCGACTATTCCAATTAGAGGTTCCATCAGAAAATCGATTCCCAGGCAATTTGCCACTGGTGTTGGCCACAAATTAAGCTAAATTGCTACAGACGTGAAACCACGAGGACATTTAATTTGTGACACATGATTGTCGATAAAAATTCATTTTCACCCCAACAGTTGTGGTTAAAGTGAAAACAATTCGTTCAACTCGAGCGAGAGAAATCCGAGTACTTGGAATAATTGGAGTATTGTTGAAATTGAATATGTGGGTGAGGCTCGTATTGCTGTGCGTCCATTACTGATTCGCTTACAATTGGGTAGTGAGGAAGCACCTGAGGAATTGAATTCGAATTTTCAATGGATACTGTGAGCCACCCGGAATACGGGCTCCGTATTCCGATTGAAGTATTCCGATTGAATTACATGCGATGAATTTTCGATTTATTTCAACAATATTATTTACGAAGATAGAGTACGATTACATTTTCCTAAACTCCTGCTTATCACCGTCTAAACAACTATTTCATTTCTAGATAATAACTTCGTTATTTTGGATTAAGGAAACATCTGTTTGTGTTTAAAACTATTCATTTATTCAATTCAAATGAAGTTTATTTACTTCGAATGAAACATTTTTTTTAGTTGACATCAACTAAAACTCTTTATTTGTAAACTAGGGGGCTACACCCCCTGCTCGCTCCGCTCGCCAACCCCCATATGAACCTCATGATCCTTATTCTGACCCTTAATCAGACGTAAAACGGTACAAGTCAATTTCGACTACTGACCGGTTTTCAATGAATATCTCGGAATCTAAGGGAGATAGCAAATTTTTTGTTAAAACCTTTTTTGTAGAGCCGATTGAGTGCTACAATAAATGTAATTACGAAAATTTCGCCATCTCCCTTAGATTCGGAAATATTCCTCAAAAACTCAACTGGGAGATGAGTCGACTTGAACCGTTTTACCACCTCGCTACTGAATTTCTCTGACACGTAAATTCACATCTCGCATATGATTTCCATTTCAGAATCCATCAAAACCCCTGTAACCACTGTACATCAAAAAGCTGGCAATGGTATCAGCGGCAGTGTTGGGTGCAGCAGCTGGAACTGGATTGGCACTTGTTGTTGCAGTGACAATAGTTGTCTATCGTTATTACTCCGTAAAGCATTACGAAAAATACTGGAGTACGTTGGATCGATGGCCCGATCCACCTGCCAATTCTACCAAGGGTTTAATAATGGAGACGAATCGTACACATCACTATTGTCATACTCCGCCTACATCGGTACTCGATTGCTGGAGGAAGCCACAGCGCAATTACTGCGCTGTCCAATCGCAGGTATGTTATATTTTATTTCTCCAGGTATTTCTCACAGTTGACTCGTATTTGTTCGATGTTTTCTCGCTAATGGATCCGGTGGATTTTACCCTCATGAATCGGACGACAAAATTTTATATGGAAACTTAGAGTCAAATTTTATTCAAATCAAATGTCAAATTTATTCCATTCGAATGAAAATTATTTGCAAATAAATTTTACTGTGACAGCTATTCTGGCAAATTCATTAGAAAATTCTATTGAATTTTTATTGAACTTCGATTGGAGATTCTATTCTTTTTCCGCCGACTCTGTTGAAGAATCCCGCCTCTTCACTGCGCGTTTCTTCAATAGAAAATGTCCAATCGAAGCTACTTGGTAGAAAAAATCAGTTGAATTTCATCATTCACTACATTTTCCGTAGAAGTTTTTCGAAATAAATTTCCTAATTTTTCAATAGAGTCGGACAAAAACTAATAGAAACTTAAATAGAAATCCCATCAAATTTTCTACGGAATTCGCTAGTTTTTTCTATAACATTTTTTCGTACGTGCAGATGGAGAGGAAATAATACTTGAGAATTGCGAAACGCGAGTGTTCATTATTTTTTGGCTGGAGTTCACCGGAACGTAGTCTTGTTTTTATTCAGTGGTTCACGGTGGAAACTGCTGACAATGCTTAGACATATATATTTTTATTATCTGGGGAGTTGAAGAGATCTCAGCATCGTTCGCACCGTTAAGGTTGCAGTAAGGAATATTTTCGTCGCGTCGGAATAACGTAATTTACATTTTGATCGAGTTTCTCTGAATATTCAGATCTTTATCGGAGCATCATATTTCTGATGGGGAAAACCAACAGTTTGTCAGATCATTTCCAATAGTCTTGATGGCAGGAGTACGGGAAGCGTGAATTTCTGATGCACAATTTCGAGAAGAAATTCCACAATTCATTGAAATTTTCAATCAAACAAATATTTTGAGTTGAAGGACACAGTTTCCAACAATTCTTTCATCAAATTATGATAAAATCAATGTAAATATCATATCTTCAGCAGATCAATTGTTCTCTACAGAACGATTAAATAAAATGCGAACATTATTCACCAGAAAAACTCAATTCTGAAAGTTTCTCATTTTTTTGTGTACCTCGATTGGGTGACGCATGTGGATAAAATTTACAAAAATTCTGGTAAAAGCCTGCTGCAGCGTGAGTTGATACAATTTGAATACATGAACGATGTAATACACGTGTCTTGATAACACCAGCATAAAACCAATGTTTTACGCCGATGGGAAATAGATTTTCGTTCAAACAATACGACTCGATCCAACGAGTTGAAAGTGGGGTATTGAAAAATATGAGGACGATATTTTGCGGAACACTTTTATTGCAAACTCTCCCGGGGCAAATGCAATGATGCGTCTATCGGGAAGCAAGCGAGAAGAAACTCTCGGATCAAACCAGTTTGCAAGTGGAAACGGAACGGCTTAGGTCGGACGTCGATTAACTAGATTGGTGATAACTCTCTTCCGCACTAATAGTTTCAATGTTTTTTAAAAGTATTTTTATGAAACTTAAGGTGAAAATTTTTTTTTCACCCGCAGCCAAAGTGCCATATTTAGCCTTTTTTCGGGGGGAAAGTCGACTTTCGCCAAAATTGAATTTTTCCGCTGAGTCAACGTTGATTCTGTATTTTCTGGTCCGCCTGGTGCCACTGCGCCCCTTCTTTGCCCCAGAAATGCAGAAATATAAAATTTTTTTTTTTCACCCGCAGCCAAAATGCCATATTTAGCCTTTTTTCGGGGGGAAAGTCGACTTTCGCCAAAATCGAATTTTTCCACCGAGTGACCGTTGATTCTGTATTTTCTGGTGCGCCTAGTGCCACTGCGCCCCTTCCTTGCCCCAGAAATGCAGAAATATAAAATTTTTTTTTTCACCCGCAGCCAAAGGGCCATATTTAGCCTTTTTTCGGGGGGGAAGTCGACTTTCGCCAAAATCGAATTTTTCCACCGAGTGACCGTTGATTCTGTATTTTCTGGCCCGCCTAATGCCACTGCGCCCTTCACTTGCCCAAGAAATGCAGAAATAAAAAAAAAATATTTTTCACCCGCAGCCAAAGTGCCATATTTAGCCTTTTTTCGGGGGGAAAGTCGACTTTCGCCAAAATCGAATTTTTCCACCGAGTGACCGTTGATTCTGTATTTTCTGGCCCGCCTAATGCCACTGCGCTCCTCACTTGCCCCAGAAATAAAAAATAAATAAAAAAAATTTTTTTTTTCACCCGCAGCCAAAATGCCATATTTAGGCTTTTTTCGGGGGGAAAGTCGACTTTAGCTTCGACTTATGTATTTCAATACTTCCAAATACTTCGGTAACGTTTACTCTTCCTTTACTATTCCGTTTTCTCCGTGCAGGAATCTCCATATCCCTTTGCGAATCCCCGGTCACGATAAAAAAGCTCCCTCCAGAGATACATTATCAGAGCCGGTAAAACAGGTCCCGTGGAGCTTTCCACTTCCCCATTGAGCTTGCACCCTTGACAGTGGAGTAAGTCACTCCCACCAGAGCCTCCACCGTCCCTACCGATAGAGTTCCACCCCAGTTTAACCCACAACCCCACAAATTCCTAGGAATCGCTGTAACCGGAAAGGTCAGACCCATAAATTGAACATCAGTAATCTTCCGTTATCGAATTTCCGATTTACATGGCGAATCCCGGGTGATAGCCCACAAGTCACGAAGGTACTAGGTACATTTGCCGATAGAATTGTCGTACTATGCATGTACAACCAAGAATCATTACGTCAAATCTATTCATTCACTTCAAACAATTCTTTATAATCATTACATGAGACAATTCTATGGAAAATTCTTTTACATTTTTTTAAGTCATTGCCAATAATTTTATAAGCGTCTAAGTTAAAATATATTGTTGTTTTTTATATTGTCCGGGAATTCAACATTCGGTCGCGAATAATTTCAAAAACGTATCATTTGATATATCGGATTCTACGTTCACTGATCGATATTTAATCATATTTGAAATTTTGTAAACAGCTGGATTTCGTAGATTTGTTTTCATGTTTTCTTGGGTTTCGCCAATTATCCACAAATCATTTTCCGAATTTCTGACTTGAAAATTCTCCGTCCGTTTTAAATCATGAATTTTTGACTCATTATTTTTTTTTATTCATATTTCTTTTCTACTACCATTACTGTTTTATAGACTCCCCAATTCAAACTTTATCTCAAAAACCAATGAAAAGTGTCAATTTCAGTTCAATTACTCCATGAAAATAAACAGAAATCAAGAAAATTCTGCTGCATTTATTCTCAAATTTGCAATTAATTCAAAGAACAGTATAATTTGGTCTTGAATTCTCATGTTTTCATTGACAATTCAAATAAAAGTATTCTTCTTCAGCACAAAAATATGGAATTTCTCTTAATTTTCAATGAAATCTGAAACTTGTAGATTTTCCCCCCAAAGCCCCATTATCAGAAATTTTAAACTTCACGAAAAAACTAATGAAAAATGTCAATTTCAGATCAATCATTCCAGGAAAATTCATAGAAATCGGAAAAATTCTGCTGAATATATTCTCAAATTTTCAATTCATTAAAAAACCAGCGTAATTATGGCTTAAATATGCACGCTTCCATCCGAAATTGATCGTAATCTGAAATTTATCGATCTTTCCCCCTAAATCAAATTCGGTGTCCCTCTCCCAGAAATTACCAGTCAACAGTCTCTGAAATTTCAATGTTTTCTAAACAGTGCATCAAAAATTCCCCCCCAATGTTCCTAATAAGCAACAACCGCAAGTGAACGCATGACGCGTGTGTCTTTTTTTTAATAAAAAAAAGAGGGGATAGAATTGTAGGACCAAGCGAGAATATGAAATTGGGATCGATACTGTTCTGTACCACAAGCGATTACTATTGAGCTTGTGAGGAAACCGCGAGCTTGCGCGGGCGCAACTGACACGAGAACCGTTGAAACTGCAAACATTCAATCGAAAGGTACCTCTCGACTGAATGTCACTGTAAATAACTCCCCCCCTGAATTAATAATAAACCATCCAAGGAACAAAAGGTCTCCGATAATAATCCGCTTGACACGATTTTCCAATATCTCGAGTTAATGCTTCTAGAGAAAATCAGTTTGATCATTAAATTGTGCCAGTCATAATTGGCAGGATTGAATTCACTCGGGGTTTTATTATATTCTGAGCTGTACAGTTGAGATGCGTTGATAACTGGGTCACGAATGAGGGCGGAGTGTCAAGGCCAGTAAAAGCGAGTGACAATTGGGCAAATACTCGGTGGAATAAGATACTTCAAAGGAACCCTGGGGGATATATTAATTAGGGGAAAATAAAAAGGCTCGAGGGAAGTGATTATGATAGATCTCTCATATCCTGTTGAGATTAATATCTTATTGGACTGTTGCATGACTTTTTTTTAGGGAATAAAGTCATAATATACTTAAGTAGGAAGAAAATTATCACATATTTTTAGGTTTCAAACTTTATCGCTCTCCATTGCTTGTTATTTTGGGAAATGATGCCTAATTGAAGTACGTGCAATTATTCAAATCACTGATGTCATCAGAAAAGCTTTAAAACCCATCAGTTGAATTGAGAAATTAAAAACCCGTCAACTTCAATTGATTATTCAATTTAACTTGATTATGTTCATTGAAATTGATGAAAAATATGATATCTATATTTTATGATTTAACTAATACAGACAGTTGGTATTATAAATAGTAATTCCGACAATCAGAATCATTGAACAGAATAAGAATAAAGTGATACGTATTTTTTATTTAAAAAAAGTAAAATCAAATGGTGAAAAATAATGGAGAGGTCGAAAATTTTCCAAAAATGGCCAAAACTCCTCAATCAAATTTTTAATGACTCAATTAAATTCGATTCTATTTTCACTAAAATATGAACAGTAAGAGGTCAATACTATTTTATTTACTAAAAAAACCAATTTAAATGATCAAAAAT